CATTCCTGTCCTCTTCAGCCCTCCAAAGTAATAGTTCTGCCACAACTGAAATAGTTACATTCTGGGTTTATTTAAAATATATCTTTATGAATGGCTTCGTTCCAGTGTCATCCTTACTCAGTATTGTGTGGGAAAAGTGGGCCTGTGTACCAGTTGTCTTTGACAAAGATCTTTCCCTTTCCTTTCTTTTTCTCCATTTCTTTATTTGAAATCACCTTTCTGTGATTATTTTTCATGTTTCTTTCTTATTCATTCTTTTGAATTTCATCCTGACTTTGGCAGGGGTCTGTCAGAGGATGCTGATGGGAGCAGCACGGGGTTAACACCACTGGTTTTTAGACCGAAACTTTCCTTCATTCTTTATGAGAAATTAGCAATAAGTATTACTCTTTTTTGCACAAAAGCCACATAAATAAGTGGTCCTGCTTAAGCCTTTAAATTCACCTGCCTGGAGCAGGTCCAACCCTCTAATTTTTATGTCTTAATGCCACGTAAAATTATTCATTCTGCCTTGAGAGAGGTCTATTTTCAGTAAAGCAAATTCCGGTTCATCTGATTTTCTTCTTGCTTTGCAGAGAAGCTTGGAAATTAATGAGGCCATGAACTGCTGAGGGTGTTGCAGGAGTGGAAACATAGAGTATGAGTTCATTTAATTTTCAGTACGGTGTGTGATAGCTTAAAATACAAGCAATTAAGTTTTCTCTTTCCCATTTTACACAGGTACATTGGGTAATAGCTGGTGTCCAGAGTTGTGTTGTTTTTCCTAGGAAAATGAGAGAGATGTCAGTAATTCTGTTATTCTCTAAGTTAAATTTTGTTATGGTTATTTTTGCCCAAAGATAGCTAGTTATGTCATATTTTTTTCCATTCTTTATTGCTCAAACTAGTTTCTAATTGAGCTCCAACGTCGTGGAAGACTTATGAAACGCTAATAACCCGGCTTTGAGACGTCAATACGAGTTTTAATTGTTGTGCTTTCTCTCACAGACGTCCTTGAAGGCTACAATGGCACAATCTTTGCTTACGGGCAGACGTCATCAGGAAAAACGCATACTATGGAGGTACGGTGGCAAAATGAAATCAGTTTGGTAGCAGCAGTAGAATTAGATGTGGCAATTACCTGAACAGGCTGGAGCACTCGGCTGTGAGTGACAGATAAAGAGAGGTCTGGGGATGTCTTGTCTCTATTCCCTTTGAAGCTGTAGCATTTCTTTCAAGGTGGCGTTTTTTTCAAGAGATGGCTACAGATCTTTTACTAAACTAAAAAATGAGTGAAAAATATCAAGTGTAGCTTCTTCGTATTTGCCATAACGGTTTAGGTACATGCATATTTTAAAGAATTTGAGTGAGATTTGTTAATCCACAAATGGAAACAGTAATAAGGGTCTGCAGAGTTCCCTTGCATGCAGGATGATGAAAATTCATGCCTGGGTTATTGGTTTTCTCATTTGCACTCCCCTCCTGGGAATACCTCTCTCGCACGCTGCAGCACAGATGGCTGAATTGGAGAATTGTTGCTTTGGAGGAGAAGAAAACCAAATTATACCAGATTCCAGCAGCTGAAGTCCCACGTCTGTTCATGTTTCTGCTACGTGAAGTGTGACGGTGTAGGTTTTGTCCTGTGTTTTCTTATTTTTAACTGTTTAGTTAGAAGACAGGTAGATATTTTAGCCTCCTGCTAAGAAAGGAGGATCAAGCATTTAATCCATCACAACGCCCTGCAAGCTGGGTGTGTGTATCTTGGAGCGTATCACTTCAAGTGTGAACTTTAAACAGGAGCTCTACAGCAAAGTTGTGCTAAATGAAAGGAAAAAATGAGCTTTCATCTGTTTAACAGCATCAGATGGTTTTGCTACGTGATTTAACGCAGCTGACCTATGTAACCTGAAGGTTAAAGGAGAAGAAAAGCAATATTCTTGCCAGCAGGCCCAGTGAAATTGTTGTTCGATTGCCACAGTCACCTCTTTCCTGGAGGATGCGGTAACCGATGCCTCACGTCCTTGTGAGGATGGGGGAAATCAGCAGCTCAACCCTCACAGATGGCTCCGTGGCTGAGTAATCCACCAGCTCCGAGTGTAATTAAATCCAAATGTCTGCAGGGCTTGAGCTGGTGCTTCCACATGGCAGGGGAAAAGATCTCTTCAAGCCAATTTATCGTCAGAATTACAAGCTGCGATAAAGGAAATGACTGCTGAAAAATGGCTGTTTAACTTCCTTAATAAAGAAAAGGCTGTCATTTTAAAGTGGAATCAAATCTATATTCAGTTTTAATCCCCCCTTTAACCCAACATCCTCTTGTGAAGTTGCTAAAGTGTGTTGTGGAGGAAAAAATAGTCTGAAGTTGAAGAAATTGTAAATCCCCTTGGTAAAGCTGTTACGGGGGATTTTCTGTGAAATACTTCATGGTGTGAGTGTTAAGCTTAAACAGGACACGGTAGTATAATACAGCCACGATAGGCTTTCTGACATACATAGGTCTTTCTTCTGTGCTAGGTAAAACATTTGTATCCTGTATACCATGATAGATTCTTCTTAAAAATCACTTATTTTTGTCCATAACGTTACACTGTTGGGCTTTGACCTTAGAGGATTCAGCATTGGCTCCCTATAGCTTCTCGTTACTATGTCAACATCCTGGCTCCCACGTTACACTTCACTGGCTACTGCCTGCTCTGTTTAAATGTGGAAATTAATGTTCTTATTAAAATGAGAGGTTTAATGAGCAGAGAAGTCTCTGCCCGGGTGCTTTGGGGGAGTTTACCAACTGCAGTGTCAGCATTTCTCCCAACTGTTTCTGAGGTTACAGCTAAATCCATGATTATTTGGTTTCTTTGATTCCAGCTTTCCAGTGAATAACCTACCTTTCCCTTCCAGTTTGTAGTCTCCATAAATTACAGTGGGACCTGCTTCAATCACCTCTTAATAAAAATCCCTTGATAATGAAGTAAAAAGGAGATAATGGTTTTCAGTGCATCACAGTGTGCTGGTGTGACAGCGTTTTAAAGACCTTAACTCCTTTGCAAAGCAGTGAATGTGAAATTCAGTGAATTTCTACTGACCGAAACAGTGAAAGAGGAAGTTGCAGATGCAGTGGCTGAGTTACGTGCCACACACATTGGTGTTTTACAGGTTGATTTCTCTTCTGAGCTAGAGAAAGCTGCATCAAGGAAAGTGTAACTATTAGAGGGTTTAATTATTTTAAAAATTATTCTTTGGGGCTGGTAAAACAAGGTAAAACAAAGGGTTGGGGTTTGGTTAAGTGTCTGTGCATACAAGTTATCCCCTCCATCGCGGGTTTAGTTTATTTAATCTCATTCTCATAGTTGAAACAAAATGGTGTATCCTACAATAAGGACTTTTTAGTTTTTGAGAAGCTTAATAGGGTGCTGGATATGGTGTGGCATTTAACTGCTTCCCCTGCAGAGAGTGATATTATTTGTATAATATAAATGAAATAGTCACGGTTTAGATACAGCTGAGTGCTGCTTTATAGGGAAAGCAGTCAGCAATGTAACTCATTTATGTGTATTCCTCCCCCCTCTTTTTTTCCCCCAAGATTTGTAATTCAAAGGCAGAAACCTAATAACTGCTTTAAATGCAGGCTTTGAGATAGAGTGAGAGATATTGTCAGTTCTTCATGTTGAATTTCCTTCATCCTACTAGGTTGCTGCTTAGAAGTTGTCTGTCAATTCACCAGCTTTAGCATAAAGGAAGTGATGTGTAAAAAGACTGTATTTCAACACACTAATGAAGGCTGAGAAATTTGGAAAAGAGGTCTTTGTGACCCACTAGTTACTCTCAGATGTGTAATGCTGAGAAACACATGTATGCATGTATGGTTTTCTTCCTATTTTGCCAAGAAAAATATTGGTGTTTAATAATTATTAGCAATTAGAGGTCAAATCTGGCTTCCCATGATTTGGAAGTGTATGATTACCAACTGTATTTTAAAAGAATAAATATCCCTGGCAGTATTTGGAGTGAATAAATATCCAGTATTTGGAGTTAAGATGCTTTGTTGTGCTGATAGGGGCAGTAATACCTGCATGAAGATACCTTCAAAAGGTACATTAAAGTTTCTATATGCTGTGTTCTGGTGGAGTCTCATGCCTACTGACTTGTTATTGCACATTTAAGCAGTTTCATAAAGTACTTGGAAATAACCCAGTGTATGCTGTAGTCAGAAAGGGTTCTTATCTGGAGTTTGTGTTTCTATTCGGTTTTCAGGTGGTGGTGGCTTTCCTGTACGTGTCTGGCTGTTGCAAAAAAGAGCAGCACAACGGAAAGGAGCCACGCAGCCAGGGCGATCGCTGGGTTTTAGTTAAGATTCAGTTCTTGGAAGAGCAGAGGAAGGCGGTTGTGTAAATGAGCGTGGAGAACAGCGGTGTTTGGAAGGCACAGCTCTGGCAATAGGCCCAGCAAGCTCAAATCAGAATATATTACTCTAATCCCCAAATACCCACAGCCCAGGTTTCCCTTTTGCTTTCTAGCATAGCGGTGAAAAAAACCCAAAATGCTTTAATACTTCTTGTTACTGACATGTTTCCAAACATCTGATTTAACCAGGAGAACTGGGCTGTGATTTCTACATTTATATATGTTTATTCCTCTGTCTTTCGTTGGGGAGTGACAGGAAATAGCGGCAGGACAGCGCGCTTGGCAATGGCAGGAGCTGACAAGACAAATAGGTGCTGCATTGGGTGAAGAGCGCTAACGCCTCGAGTCGTTCTGCCACCTTTCCTCTGCTCTTATATCAAACAAATCCAGTGAATCCCCCCCTGAGCAGCAGATGGGTTCATAGGGGCCCGCTGGAGGGAAGATGTTTTTGGACAAGGTTTTCTCCTCCGAGAAGGCTTCCCAAGTTCCGGTTTGGTTTTGTGTCCGCAGGGGAAGCTGCACGACCCTCAGCTCATGGGAATCATTCCGAGAATTGCACACGACATCTTTGATCACATCTACTCCATGGATGAGAACCTGGAGTTTCATATAAAGGTAAATGCAGGATGACGTCTTGCGTAACGGGTCGGGTGGAGGAAAGCCGAGCTGGATGGGGATCTGCATTCGTGCTCTAACGTTGTGCTGCACGATTTTTCCTTTCTCCCTTTTATAACTCAAAAACTATTATGTTACTGAGGATATTTACTAGAAATTAATATAGTTACCAGCTTTTGATGGAAATTTTTCCTGAGTGTGTTTAAAAGTAGTTTTTAATCTCAAAATCTTACAAATGGGTTCCTTAAGATAATAACATTATAGAATCATCAAATGTGTTGGGTTGGAAGGGACCTTTAAAGCCCATCCAGTCCAACCCTGCAGTGAGCAGGGACACTGGTACCAGATCAGGGTGCTCAGACCCCATCAGCACCTTGAACATCTCCAGGGATGGGGCCTGCACCACCTCTGGGCAACCTGTGCCAGTGATCGGCCACCTCATGGGGAAGAGCTTTTTCCTCAGATCCAACCTAAATCTCCCCTTTTCTAGTTTAAAACCATCCCCCCTCATCCTACCACTGCATGCCACAGTGAACAGCTCTGCCCAGATTTCTTACAGGCACCTTTCAGGTCCTGGAAGGTCGCTATAACGTCCCCCCCGGAGCCTTCTCTTCTCCAGGCTGACCAACCCCAACTCTCTCAGCTGTCCCCATAGCAGAGCTCCTTCAGCCCTTGGATCATCTTTGTGGCCTCCTCTGGACCCACTCCAACACTTCAATGTCCTTTTTGTGCTGGGGAGTCCAAAGCTGGGCGCAGTGGACTAAGTCTTGTTTTGAACAGCTGACACCTTTTCCTTGTCCTCATTGTGATACCAAACATAAGATCCCAAATTATTTGAGGGACTTTTCATTCCCACTGTTCACCTGGGGAGCTCTCAGCCATGGGGAGGCATTGGTCCATCTGGCAGAGCTGGAGTCAGGGTGCAGCTTTCTTCTATGTGGGTATCAGTGAAATCACCCTAGGGATTGCAGGAAAAGTGAGTACTCCTCTGTGTGATCCCTCCCCAAAATACAAAATGTACCTAGGTTGCTTCAGTTAAATGGCTGAGCAGAGGTGGAGTGTGAAACACTGTCCCTTCTCCTGCTGTGACCAGGTAATATTTGAATTGTAATTTTAATTGTAAAACCTGAATTTTCATAGAAATTACTTCCATAGGAGTGACACTGATTCCTCTTCATCATCTGTAAAGCTCTGCCACGGCTGTTGCTTTTCTACATGACAGCACTTGGGTGCCAATGGATGGGGACCCCCATGCTCAAGACAGTAAAGTCCTGTCCCGCCAGAAGATTATCGCTTTATAAATCATGTTCTGCCAGCACTGGGTCGTCTCAGTGACTTCCTATCACAGTTGACATTTATGAATATCTTCACAGAAAAGCTGCCTAAATAGCAGTGAATGAGTGAGTGATTATACAAGGAGCTGTCATCGAGAGAGATGCATGGGAGCAAGAATTTAACCAAACTGTCACACTCTTTTAATAACTGAGCCAATGTTGAAAATTAATATATAGGTTTTTTTCTTGCCCTCTTTAATAGAGACTCATTTAGAACATTTGATATCTCTGTGTGTTGGTCCTCAGCACTGTTAATAGGATCATGTAAAGCATGGGAGTTAAGTGTGGGTGAACCCCACTGGTGAAATGAGCTGGTCCAGAGCATGGCTTTAAATGGGACGCAGGGGAAGGAGATGCACAGAAGCAAAACGCATCTGTATTTAACAGCAGCTGTCACATAGAAAGGTCGAGTCGTCAGTAGAAAAAAAATAGGTATAATTTATTTTCCACATGAGGGAAAATGATGCTGTACTAAATAGCTAGAAGTTACTGATAGCTTAAATTTAGCCACCTAGTCTTCTAGCTAAATAATCCCTGGATAAAGCTGCTTTAGGGTGAGGTTAGGCATCACCCCCTAACACATTTCTGCTTGCTACAGTGCATTGAATACCCTTTTATTTAGAGTCATTCATTCTCCCTCTCCTTAATTTTTGGGGTGTTTTTAGGACAACTGTCTCTTTATTACAAAAAAAAAAATCTCATTTTCAGTTTCCTCGTTGGGGCTTCATTTAATAAGCTTCATTTAAAAGTTTAATTTAACTTCTATTGCTTAAGCTTGTGTAACTTGTATGTGAAACCACTGAACTGTGCTTTTGTGCTGGTGGATATCAATATTCCTCTTACTGTTGTCAAAATTTATCCTCCTCATTATGCAGCCAAATTGATTTTATTCTGTTCAACGTTTCTGTGTCCAGAAAAAATGACAAAGAGAAGATTTGTCTGAAGGTTTTTTTTTGTGTACTTTCCTGATGAATCATTGATAAATGGAGAAAGATCAATGACACGTAAATAATTCAAGATACAAATTCTTTCATGTGAGAGATGTGATTCAAAGTTCTGTAGGAGGTGGATTTTATTTTTGGTTTGGTGCTTTTTATTTTGACAGATATGGAAATATAGGCACAGAGATTTATTTAAATCGACAAAGTTTAAATCTGTAATCTTTATGATTGCTTCATTAGGTTTCCTACTTTGAGATATATTTGGACAAAATAAGGGACCTACTTGATGGTAAGTTTTGCATTTCTTATGTGAAGAAGTGTTTTCTGGCTTGGTATAGTGCTTTAAATCAGTGCTTAAGGGGAAACTGTTACTTTCTTTGAGAGTGGTTTAAATTTAAGCCTATGACTGGGTTTGTGAAAGAATTTTCCAGTTGAAGTCATCTGATGTTGACTCTTGTGCACCTGCCTCTGCAGTGCTACATGGCTTGGTTAGAAACCAAGAGAATTTCACAGACTTCAGGGCAGGTCTGAACCTCATTTGGAAATGTATATTCTTGAAGTAAAACTGTTTTCTGTTGAGGGTTTTTGTTAAATTTAGAATACATTTTTGGTTCCACTCATTCCTTGCATTGCCTTGGATGGGTAGAGTGTTTTGGGAGTGATCTACCTCTGTTACAGTTTATGTCTCTGTGTATTTGTGCTGTATGTTAATCAATTGTGTGCGTTGAATAAATCTGAAGACAGAGAAATGCACGCTAACGGTACCACAAAGCCAGGACCTTGTAGCTAAGCTTTTAAAAATGCCAGTGGGTTCTTCTGTCTCTTTTGAAATTCTTGCTGCGTTGGCAAAATCCAACTTGGTCTGCGTTTCTTTTATGAATCCAAGCAGTGAACAAAAGCTTTTGTGCCCTAAAGTTAATTTTAAAGAAACAGGTACAAGATTGACAGAGCAAGACACAGGTTTGGTGTAACGGGAATATTGGTAGCTAATAGGGAGTGGAAGTGACTGCAATCCTCATTTACAAATGTAATACGTTCACGTATTTGTCAGCCATGCCCCCAGGTGACACTTCATTACTTTTGGAATATTCCTAATGATCTCCATCTTTTTTTCTAGTGTCAAAGACAAACCTCGCTGTACATGAAGATAAAAACAGAGTCCCGTATGTTAAGGTAGAAAAATTTAATGCTCAACATTTCATTCTTTCTCACATCTGCATTTATTTACATGTCTCCATGCCATTTGCAGAAATGATTCAACTCATGTTCAGAGCCTTGAATGTTCAAATAGTATTGGTTCCTGGATTTAAACAGTTTCCTGAAATATTAATGGGCTTGAATCATGTTTGCTTTGTTTTACTGACTTGAAACATTTACAACTTGCTAGGGTGGTGTTAAATTTTAAGCATCCATATTCCCATTTCGTGTCAGATAGCAAAGAGAGCACCTTGAAGAATTTTGTTCTTTGCTATTTTGTTGCGTAGATGCTCTCATCTTGCAGCATTGGAGAACAGATCTGTCGGGTTAGGAATTTGTTTTATGACTACCAGGGCCCTCACATAAGTGTAATCTACTTGTTATGAACATATGTGAGGCTTCATAATATATTATTTGTATAATATTGTTCTGTTCATTCTCATCCTCACCAAAATTAGTAACATGGATATATATATCATTCCATATAGAAACTCTTTTCTCCTGCATTTTTGGATTTGACCAAGTCTTTAATCTTGTGAGAAAAAATTGTCTCTCAAGTTATCCCATGGCCTCCTGCAAACCATACAGAGCCAGGTTTTGGTGCATTGCCTCGCTGATGATCATGTTGGATGTCGATGGTTCTTCTAATTATTTTGTTCATCAGTGCTAAATATTCTTCCTGACGGCATTTGGAGCGCCAGGACACTTCCTAACCTTTTTTATTTTCAACTCGTGTATTTCTAGGGTTGTACAGAAAGATTTGTATCTAGTCCTGAAGAAGTTTTGGATGTCATCGATGAAGGGAAAGCCAACCGTCACGTAGCCGTTACAAGTACGTATGCCGAGGAGGCTTTCCTGGCTAGAAAGTGGGGGTGGTTGTGGCTTCCCAGTGATGTATTGATTCTTCACAAAGCACATGGAGTTACTTACATGAACGATGTAATGATGCACAAATTACAGCGCTGTAAAATTAATCAACATTTATTGACTGCTTCAGCTTTCAGAACTCCTGAATTTAATATATGGCATTGAAATATGAAACGTTGAAATCGTTACACAGAGTATGGATATTTTGAAATGATTGTGATTGAAATGATGTACTTACATTCTCCTTTGTGCTACAAGGAGGAACTCAGAGCAATTCACTGGTCAAATGGCAAAGCCTGCAGAGCAGTTACCAGACTCTCGGGAGTTATCCCAGTGTAGCAGTGACTTGGATTGGGTTCCAATGATGGCAAAGCAAACAAATCTTAAACTAAAAATCTTAATAATTGCTTCAGCCTGTGCCAAATGTGTTGACACTGTGTTGCATGCAGCCTCCTAGGATGGAGCCAGGCTCTTCTCGGTGACAAACAATGATAGGACAAGGGGTAACGGACACAAACTGGAACACAGGAGGTTCCACTTAAATTTGAGAAGAAACTTCTTCTCAGTGAGGGTGACAGAGCACTGGCCCAGGCTGCCCAGAGAGGTTGTGGAGTCTCCTTCTCTGGAGACATTCAAAACCCGCCTGGACGCCTTCCTGTGTAACCTCATCTGGGTGTTCCTGCTCCGGCAGGGGGATTGGACTGGAGGAGCTTTGGAGGTCCCTTCCAATCCCTCACGTTCTGTGATTCTGTGAAATATAAATATTGCTGTGAATGTGCACAGGGAGAGGTGGTACTGGAATTTAAAGTAACAGAGAGAACAGAGAAAACTGATGAGAAAATGGTTTACTGATTCTTAATGACTTCTTTTTGCTGCTTTATGAAACTTCAAGCATGACATGGTTACAATTAAACTTAGAATAACTGGAAACTGAAACTGTAACTGCCTGTGCTTTACCTGCTGCCCGGGTGAAGGAGGATTTTTAGTTACATACATAAGCAATAAAAAATCCCTCTGAAATGTTAATTTAAGTAATGTATCTTTAATGAAAAGTTTTGATAACATGTTAGGAGATCTCCTCACACGTTGCACTGAGACCTGCCCAGCTTCTTAGTACTGCAATTATTATTACTTATCTTTAAATTCTCTTGTTCAGCTCAAAATTATTGCTCTATCCAGGATGCTGAATGTACATCCTCATTGTAGATCTATGTCTAAATACTTTCTGCTATATCAGAGCAGTTTTTGTGTGAGCTGTCTGTACTCATGAAGAAACTTAAAAGGGCACAACCTTTAGTTCTTACTGTGTCTGTGTAATGTTATTTTATTATTCTCATGCTATGGTATTTTTTGTTATTTTTTACTATTTTTGGTCAAATTTTATTGCTGTAGGGCAAA